CCATAACAGCGAAATCTCTGCAACCAACAGCAAACTGAGTTTGTCGAATTGTTAACAAATCTAAATCGTTTGACCGTAACTTCTGACACTGTAACGGTGCATTTCTTGGAACAATTCGATCCATTAAATATTTCGGCGCTAATCCATTAATGCACTTATACACCAGTAGGGCAATTTTAAAAATAATTCTTTGTTAAACGGGCAACCAATGAAGATTGAAGAGAATAGGAGTAACATGATCAAAATATGAACCACCAGTTAACAACTTGGCAGCCCGATTACTATTTTATATGTTATTATTACACTTTTTATCGACCAAACAAAATTTTTTCAATTTTTTACCGTTCGGCCTCGTAACATTTATTAGATTTCAACAGAAAGATTTCTTTGTTGCTGTAGCTAAATAAAACTTCATTTCGTTTCGTTTGGATGCACGATTGTGTGCTTTATATGTATGTATGATTGTATGCACGTATGTTTGTATGCATGCATGTTTGCATAAATGAATATTTGTATGCGTACCTATATATTTTTTCTAAATGTTTGCTTGTTGATTAGATGGATTAAGTTGGACGATTGGTCGATTGCGTGCCTCCATTTCAAGTTCCCCATTTCGTTTTCTCGCCACGTCATTATGCTTGTAAAAGATGTTCCGTATTCTAATAATTTATTCTTAATAAATAATTATTCTTTTGCAGAAAATTTTAATTTAACGACTTATTCATTTCTTGTCATTAATTTTTTAAATAATAAATCATTCACTTGCTTTTAGAGTTGTTCGTTCAACAGCAAAATTGCATATCACATTTATTCGTCGATGCTGGTTTGTATCAATGAATGGAATGATGATGATAATGATGGTGATCAAGATGATGGTGACGATAGTGGTGGTGATTGGGATGATGGTGACGATGATAATAAAAATCATGATGAAAAAGACGATGATAATGATGATGGCGAGAACGTCAGTGATGATGATGATGATGATGAGAGGCATATTTCATTACTCGTTAAGTGTTTCCTCTCTCTAATTATTTTTTCATTTCCGCCTGTAAACAAATTCACAATGCTTCCCACACCAGCATCACGTCTACGTTACCTTTTTTCATATTTTACGCGCGTCTGTATATCTGCGTCTGATACTATGTGTTCGTTCGTTTGCAGCGATCATGCGTTTGCGTTCTGTTTGTTTAAATTATTTTCGCATTTCATTTGATTAGTATTTCATCATTTAAATGGACAAATAAAATAACATTCAAATTGGGTATGCATATCGTAATCTGATGAACTTTATGTATAGCAGAAACGAATATTACGCCAATTATGATTCGACAAAAAAATTAATGCGGAAAACTGAAAAAAAATTTTCATAAAATTTTACTTCGGGTTGTAAGTAGATGAAAAATTTAAAAGAAGTTCCGACGGAACACAAATGCGAAGTTATATAAAATAAGACGCATGGGTATTGGTCGTTGCCGTTGTTGAGTGGTGGTTCAATCTCCGCAACGACGCTCCCACATGTTGCTTACTTTGCAATAATTAATTAGTTAATTAATTAATTTATTTATTTAGTAAATGATGCAACGGAAAAATGACGACAATTTGTATTTATTCATTTTTAACTAACTGCTTCTTTCAAAATTCGCTATCATCATCACAGTCCTACTATTGATACAATCAAAAGTTAAAGGATTAACAAATGTAGTTAGCATGTGTAAGTAAAATGGTCAAACAGTAAGTACCGAAACTACTGGAACTTATTCTCAGTCGCCTGCAACCAATTTTTTGGTCGATTGTCACATTGAAAACACACTTTGAAGAGATGTCCATCAGACCGGTTGAGAATCGAGGCATCGAGAGTTAGCCTCAGAAAGTGAGCAGTAGGGCGGGGCGGGACCCGTAACAACATTACCACGGTGCCATGTTTGTTGAGGACTTGTTCACCTTGAATAACAAATTCAATCTCTCGTTCATACATTTTTTTCTTCGAGTAATCATATATCATTAAAAAAAATATTTCAATTGGTTGTGGTGTATTTATCAAGTTTGTCGTGTTAGTTGCACACGTACAGTGCACATTTATTAACAGAGATTTTCAAACCAACGTCTGATTACTTCTGTATGCGTTTGTGTGTATATAAGTGTGAATGAATGATTAAATGCACATGCATGCATGTGTGAATGAATGAATGCACATGCATGCAGGCATGTGTGAATGAATGAATGCACATGCATGCAGGCATGTGTATATATTGCGCTGTATTAAGAATTTGGATTTCAATTTTGTTTAAGTTCTACAGATTAAAAAACAGTGGAACCAATTCTTATTACATTTTTATTTACAAAGATTTGACATGACAATAAGCATTATTTTATTTTTGGGTAGTCGAAACTGACAAATTTTTTAAATGTTACCCTTTTAGCATGAAAAATAGTTTTGTTTCTGTTACTAAACACAATTTCATTTCGTTTTGTTCCTTGTATTTATATAAACATGTGTTCGTATGCATGTGTGTATGTATGTTCTGTCACGCTTTCCACCCCGCCATCACACTTGCATGAATCAACACAACTACTTTTCCGTTTGGGGGCTATGTTGTTTTTTCTTGCTATCTGTATATTGTAAGCAGGATGATTTTTTGCTTTGTTTGCTTGTTGGTGTGTTTTGTGCTTTCGTTGACGAGGATACATTGAGAATATTTTTTTTAAAAAGTTAATGGTGATGTTGGAAATTAATTTTGGTTTCTTCTTTGCAGTAATTGTTTTTGTTTTAAGGTATTCAAAACACTAATAATAAGGAAATGCATTTCCAATGTTTTTGACGCACACACGCTAACAAAAGTATAGTAACTAGAAAGAAAAAATAACACAATTTTTTGCTTATGGAAAATGAAAACATTCTTTCAACTTGTTCTATGCATGCAACATGCTCAACTCAGTCCCTGCCAAAATCAAATACACATGATTGCATTTTGTTGGTGGCAGTAGCGATAAAAATAACATTTCAGTTCTCAGATGTTGGAAGATCAGATTGAATTGAATATTACATTGTTAGTCATCATCATACTGACAAACGATGTTTCAACATCGACGACATCTGAATTGCCTGGATTAATTCTTTAACAAAAAAAATAGTCCATTGCAAATTCATAAAATTTCGAAAGTTTTTTGGAATTCAATTCGGCTTAATTTCTCCTAACTTTCTGCAATCACATCCCCACACAAAACGTCATACCCAAATTACGAGGCAAGTTTACGACGATTGTTTTTTTCCTTTATAGTTTCTATGGTGCTTAACGGCCATTACATTTTTATGCATAGCAACATGTTCGGGACCATTTTAGTTGGACCAAACTGTAACATAAAACTTTTTTCATTGTTTTTCTTTTTGTTTATATCATGAGGGGCTTGTGACGAGATGAACATGCGCCTGAATGTCAAAATGTTTTGATAGAGTAAAATGTTTTGTATTTGTTATTATAATAAAAATCTGATTTAAGAATTACAATTTATTTAAAAATTAAGTTCGATTTCTAAGAGCCGCATGTAACATTTTGAATTGTCTAATAATATATTCACGAGGACCACGTTTCGTGCCACTAACATTTACATATTATTTAAAAACTTCTACTAACATCAACACCTTAACATTTGAGTTTTAAAACTATTAACTTAAGCTATTTTGCCTGACATGCCAAAAGATGCAAAATAAGATTAGAAACAATCGAGGCCGCCATGACTTGCTTCAAGTGTGTGGCAGAGATAAATTTTTTTTCTTCCTGTAATTAAGTAAGCAGCAATAGCAAAAATATTTTAACTGAACTCTAAGTTTAATTGGATTTCTGTTTTTATTTCTTGAGCGTGCTGAGGTGCGTAGTAACACGTTCGTGGTGGTAAAATGAAGCGAGGAGCATTTTATTTAAAATGAATGATACTTTATTAACGAGACAAAGAGAGGAAAGGGGTGGAGAGAGCGAGAGAGAGAGAGAGAGAAAGAAGAAAGAAAGAGAGAAGCGAGGAAGATATATTTATATAAAATGACGAAGCACATAATGATAAATTTATACCTATTAAGACTTACTTATCCTCGAGTCATATTTTAGGCTTTTTGTTGCCGGGCCATACTCATTCCTTGTGTTTATGTACTTACAAGCTAATATACGCGTAATATTTTTGATAGAGGCGGTGGTGATGATGATGAATATAGGGATCATAACTGTAGTGAAAATGATGGTAGACGATAATTAAATATAGATAAAATGTATAGGAAAATTTATCTATTAGTGTGGATGAAGATGAAGATGAAGTTGATGATGAAGTTAATAATGAAGTTGATGATGAAGTTGATGATGATAGGAGACGAGATAGGGTAAATAGACGATTACTTTTTATTCTCCGCTTAATTTTATCGATCTCTGCAGTCTTCGAATTTAGTTGTGCTTGTTTATGTTGTTAATGTTCTTTGTTGTTGTTCTTTGTTGTTGTTGCTCTTCGTTGTTGTTGTTGTTGTGCTGGCTGAAATTGTAGTTGCTTTGTTTATTATATTTTCAATGTTTTAATTGTCAAATCTTGTTGTTGTGGCTGTTTTATAATTGACAAAGTTGTTGTTTATGATGTCAAAGTTCTTGATTATGCAATTAACGTTGTTTATTACGTAGTTAATGTTTTTGTTTGTGCAGTTAATGTTTATGTTTACATTATTAATGTTTATGTTTACATTGTTAATATTGTTTATTATGTTGTTAAAATTGTTGTCAAAGTTGTTTATAACGTGGTTAATGTCTTTGGCTGTGTAGTTAATGTTGTTGTTTATGTTGTTAAGTACACAACCAACTAACCTAACAGTCATCCAACCAACCATCCAACCAACCATCCAACCAACCATCCAACCAACCAACCAACCAACCAACCATCCAACCAACCATCTAACCAACCAGCCATCTATTCAACCAACCATCCAACCAGCCATCCAACCAACCATCCATCCATCCAACCATCAGTCACTGAAGCGAAGAACTTGATCCCAATGGACCCAAACGGACTGGCGGATCCATTTGTCAAGTTAAAGTTGATTCCTGCAGACGAGGTGAAGTTCAAGCAGAAGACGAAGACCATCAAAGCCAGTCTGAACCCCAAGTGGAACGAGACTTTCCAGTTGTTGGTTCATTTCTCACTTCATCTTCTTGTTCGAGTAGTAACCATTTTTGTCGTAACCACCGACATCGCTGTTCTTTTGTCTGTTTTTGCTGTCATAGTGGTGCGTCTTAATATTAAAAATATTTTTTTAATTTTATGACAATGGTTATGTTCATCATCATAGCAATGCATATGCATTGCTATGATGATGAACATTATCATCGTCATCATCATAACATCATCATCATCACGACAACTTTTTTGCTGAATCGTCGTCATCATCACAACATCGTCATCATAATAACGTCATCGTCATCATCATAAAACTGTCATCAGTTTACTTCAGCCGGAAGATTATTCGAAGCGGCTGTCCCTGGAGGTTTGGGATTGGGATCGAACCACTCGAAACGATTTTATGGGGGCTCTCTCTTTCGGGTTTGTCGATTGGTACTGAGGGTGGCGATGATGATCAGGATGGTGTCGTGGATGATGAAGTGGATGGTGAATGATGGAAACGAGGTTATGACGGTTAAATAAAAATAACTAAAAAAATAGACGTTGTTGAATTGAAATGTTTTGGTTATATTTTTATTACTATCATCTTATGAATATAATGAAATTATTCTCCAAATAGTTTTATTATTTTTTTGTTGTAAATGTATTCAGCATCTCCGAAGTGACAAGCGTTGGCTTCGAAGGATGGTTCCGGTTGCTGAAACAAGAGGAAGGCGAGTATTACAACGTGCCGTGCCTCGACAACGTGGCTGCTCTCTCCACTTCCTTGTCGTCATCGTCATTTTCCCATAGCGCCAGTGAATGTAAGAAGGTTCGGAGATTTCTTATTCTTAAAACAACAACAACAACAGCAGTTATACTACGATTTAATTTGATATTTTTTTAGCAGTTTTGTTGTTTTACTGTTTTGTTGCCATTATCAACAATGCGTGCTGATTTTATTGCGATTGTAAGAACTATTAATGGAAATGTTTTTTGTTATTTTTTGTTGCGTTGGTTAATTTAAACTTTCTCCCCGCCTCGACTGATGCGCGGTTGAAGCGGAAGGACCACTCGCCGCGCAGCTCAGCGACCTCTGTCCAGCCTGACCCGATCAGATTGACAGACTTCAACCTCATGAAGGTTCTTGGGAAGGGAAGTTATGGCAAAGTGAGTCGTCAGTGAAGAATTGAAAAACTCACGAAAACAAACCGACATACAATGCATGAATACCTTCAAGCGAACATACACACACATGAATACATACAAACCAACATACAAACTGACATACACACGCATGTTTACGAAGGTGGTGCTTGCAGAACGCAAAGGCACAACAGAAACATACGCCATAAAAATTTTGAAGAAGGAAGTGGTCGTGCAAGATGATGACGTGCCAGCTGTCATGGCGGAGAAGAAGATTCTCTCGCTGCCAGATATGTGTCCGTTCATTGTTCTCATGCATAGTTGTTTTCAAACCACGGTAGGTGTCCGTACGTACGTATGTGTGATCTGCTTGTGTTTCTTGGTTTGTATGCAGCATATATTTGTATTCATGTACGTAAGAGTTTATGTGTATGTGAGTTTGTGTATTTTTGTGCCAAGATATATATATATGTGTGTGTGTATGAGTATTTGTATAAGTGTGTGTGTGTGTTTCTTATGTGCGTGTGTGTGATTTATTCATCTATTTGTCACTCCATCACACCATTCCAACCATCCTTCCACCAACCAAACAGGATCGGTTGTACTTCGTGATGGAGTTTGTGGGAGGAGGTGATCTCATGTTCAGGATCCAACAGGAAGGATTGTTTAAGGAACCTGTGGCTGTGTGAGTGCTGCTGCTGTTGGTGATGATGTCTTGGTGGTTGTGGTAGTGGTGGTGGTAGTGGTGGTGGCGATGGTGTGATGGTAGTAGTGATGATGATGTGTGAGTGGTTATGATGACGGTGATGTCGACGACCAAGATGTTGATGAGGTTGTTGGTGTTGCAAATTTTTTTTAGTTTAAAATGACAACGCCATTATTTAATATTTTTTATTGCACTCCAGGTTTTACTCAGCGGAGATATCCTTGGCCTTATTATATCTACACAGCAAGGGCATCGTCTACAGGTGAGGAAGAATTGAAAATCTCATCTGCTCCGTTTGGTCACCACACATTTTTCTGTTGTGTTGTTGTTGCTATTGCTGTTGCTGCTGTTGCCGCCGTTGTTGTTGTTGCTGTTTTTAATTTTGCTGCGGGGTTGTTTTTTGATGAGAATGTGGTTGTCGTTGAGAGGTGATAGGTTTTTGAAAGTTGAAGCATCGCCATCTACCACAGGGATCTCAAACTGGACAACACCATGTTAGACGGCGATGGGCACGTCAAGTTGACTGACTTCGGTCTCAGTAAAGACTGCATGCCCGGCTTGAAAACCACCAAAACTTTTTGCGGCACACCTGATTACATGGCTCCCGAGGTAGAACTGCTTCTGCTGCTGCTGATGATGATGACGATGATGGATGGATGGATAGATGATGATGATTATGATAATGATGATAGTGATGTTGAATTTGATCACGATCGTTATCAAGATTGTGATGGGGAAGGAGTACAACAGAGCAGTCGATTGGTGGGCGCTTGGTGTCATCATCTTCGAAATGCTGGCTGGAATAGTGAGGAGATCATTCTTTTTGCACTCCTTCATTCAACCCTTCAATTTCTTCTCCATTTATATTTTGTGAACTTCTTTATTCACTCCTTCTTTCTCTCCTTCAATCACTCATTTTTATCCAATTTTTAATTTACTTTTTTCATTTTTTTTCATTTATTTTCATTCACTTTTTCACTGATTTTTTTTTATTGTCATCTTCATTCAATCTTTCATTCACTTCTTAATTAACTTTTTCATTCGTTTGCTCTCCATGCACCTTTCACCCATTCTTTCATTCTTTTCTTCGTCCATTCTTTCGTCCATCCATCCATTCAAGCATCCATCCATACGTACAAAGGTATCTACATCCATTCATAAATACTTTTGAATTTAGGTCTATGTATCTACATCCATTCATAAATTCATTCACGCATTTAAGGCAGCAATTGTGACCTAGAACCTACAATGGCAACTCACCCTGAGTGTTGCAAACGCTTTGCATAGGGTGCTGTATTGAACGACACATTATTATTATTATTATTTATTATTATTATTATTATTATTATTATTCAGTCTATCCAATTAACCTATACACCCTTTTATTTATTCATACATACAAGCGTACGGTTATCTATTCATCCTTCCAACCATCGATCTTTCCCTTCATCCACCTTTCATCTATCTTTCTTTTCATATATCCATCTTTTAATCTATTATATATATCATCTATCATCTATCTTTCATCTATCTTTCTTTTCATATATCCATCTTTTCATCCATCTTTTAATCTATTATATATATATGTATATATATATATGTATATATATATATGCAATTATTAATGAAAATCACAGCATGTTCCGCGTTAGTTAACTTCCTGTTTAACTTTTCGATTTTTCCAACGGTTGATGGTAAATCATTGTCATGTTTCTTAAGTTCAAAACCAAAACTTTTATTTATTTTAAGCATGATAGAGCATTTAAGCATGATAAAACAGTGATGGAACAGAAAAGCTTTTTTTGGCATTTGTATACCATCTTCGGTGTTCGAATTGATACGTTGTGCGTGTGGTCGAAGATGGTATAGGTATACTGAAAAAAGCTATTTTGTTCTATCATGATTAAATTTTCTATCATGCTTAAAACTAATAAAATTTTAGCTCTGAACTTAAGAAACTTGAGAATGATTTACGATCTACCGTTAGAAAAATCAAAAAATTAAACAGGAAGTTAAGTAACGCGGAACATGCTGTGATTTTTATTAATAATTGCATTTCTGACAGTTTTAATTCATATATAAATATATATATATATATATATATAATGTAAATATTATTTACATCATATCAATAGCAACCATGATAGAAATTTATAAATATATATATATATATATATATATATATATATACATATATATATATATATACACACACACACACATATATATATATATGTATATATATATATATACACACATTTACTTATACATTCATACACTTATTTGTCCATTCTTCCATCTTTTCTTTTACTTTTTTTATTCATTGATTCATTCATCTATCCATCCATCCATCCATCCATCCATTCCACCAGCCCCCTTTTGAAGCACCTAACGAAGAAGATTTATTCAAATGCATCAGTCAGAGCACTGTCAACTATCCAAAGTTCCTTAGCAAGGAAGCAGTTGCTATTTGCAAAGCCGTTAGTTTTATGATGACAATCGTGGTGGTGCTGGTGATGATGATGATGATGATAGTAGTGGTGGTGGTAGGGGCGATGGTGGCGGCAGTGATAGAGGCAATGAAACATAATATTGGTGGTAACGATGATGTTGAAGATAGCAAAATGGTAATGTATGACGTATCGATAGTTGTGTTTAAAATAAGGATGATGATGATGATGATTTTTGGCGGCTAAAAGACGTAATGTGGAAACGTTCATCAAAGTACTGAAGTGTCCCGTTCAAATGCGAGAATAATCTGGCTGTCGCACACTGAAGTGTGTGTGTCTCTACTGTGCTTTGAATTGGACATGTTTACGAACGCTGTGTGATTATTATTTGAACTTCCAAGAACTACAAAAGCAAGTTAAAGTAAAAAAGATTGACAAAACACGCTCGCTTGCCACTATTTAAATCAGGCAATTAAAAGTTATCGAAAATCGTTTACTAGTTAGGATTAGTGCTTTTATTTCATCAAAGCTACGTAAAAACAATAAAGAAAGATAGAAGGAAAATTGCTATTTAATAAGTATTCTAAAATTCAAACAAGCGAACTCTCAGTCTACATATACCGCTCTCTATTTGATTAGACTGGGTACCGGTGGAAAATGTTTGTTTGAGAAATGAGGTTCACTCTTTGTTTATATCACACTAAATTAAAAACGAGGATGGGGAAATGGGCTAAGGTACTCGACTCCATTGCTCCTAGCACTTCAAAAATTTTAAAACTGGCACATCAGGGAACTGTTCCTTGCAAGGAGCCCCATTTCGTGCTTGTTGCTGAGGTTCCTGCATGCCAGGATGCAGCTGACTGAAAATGCTAAATTGAGTGCCGACCTGTGTGACTAACGATGTATTAATGGTTATCAATATTTTAAACCGATATTGGATTGTTTTGGGACATTCATTATTAATTTGGTTTTAAAATACATACATATATACATACCATACTTACTCACACACACGCAAACACACACACACACACACATACATACATACATGCATGCATACATCGTTACATTCATACATACATAGATACAAACAAACATACCTCCTACATACATACATGCATACATACACACACACACACACATACAAACAAACATACATACATGGAGTACATCGTCGAATCGACAAATTGTGGTCATCGGTGAGTCCGAGAATGAGCGAAAAGTCCTATCCTTGACGAACATTTCCGTGCACAAGTTCCACAAATCCATACACCTGTACTATCGCCGCTTTGAGCCGTCTGTTTTCGTCGAGTCCTTTTTTCAGCAAGAGCTGCTGTGCGAGCCAGTTCAAAAGCTGAAACCGCCGACTGGGTAGACCTTCTCCATTCCGAGCGTCGCAGAGCATCAACACAAAGAGCCTTGGGGTCTAGACCACATTTTTTTATATTTTCTTTAAGGCTGTCTTTGTATCTGCGTACAGGGCCATTTCCCGACGCTAGCTGACCAAAAAAGACCTGCTTGGGGATTCTTGTATCTGGCATACGCATAACGTGCCCTATCCAGCGAAACTGAGCTTGAAACGGCAGCGATACATACATACATACATACATACATACATACATACATACATACATACATACATACATACATACATACATACATACATACATACATACATACATACATACATACAAACATACATACATGCATACATACATCGTTACAGTGTTAGTTCACATTCAAAGCTAGCTGACTTAATTAATTTTCTGGTTAATTTTGTAAATTTTATTGATTTTAACTGTGCATAATCTTTTCAATTATTTTTTGAAAATGCTGGTACGAGTGAAATTGATCGGAAATTGGAAAAATCATTATCTCCGGTGACTTTCTGTATTGGTATGATTTTAGATATTTCGAGGCAGTTTGGAAAAACACCGGTTGTGAAGGAAAGGTTGATGATGTGTTTGAGGACTTGGCGGTGGAGTGAATTACAAGTTTTGTTGGAATATCATCCCAGTCGCTGGACTTTGGTATCAGCAATTTGGTTGTAAAAAATACAAATTAAAAAAAAAATTATCTCATCTGCAGATGCGTGGAGGCAAAAAATGAATTTGATATTTTGTCACGAAGAAAAGTTTTCCATTGTTTGTCCGATTTAAATGAATTGAGCAACTTTGGAGCTATGTTGACAAAATATTCCTTTAAAAAATTTGCAGGGTTTTCAATAATCTGTTTGTTTGAATTTAACTGACGTTTAGTTTTATTTCCGGTAGATATTTTTGAAATTTCATTTATTATCGGCCACGTTTTTTTGTTATTATTATTATTTTGCTCGATCTGTTCCATGTAGTATTTACGCTTCAATTTTTTTCAATTTGGTACAAAATTGACTAAACGTTCTAAATTGTTAAAATTTTTCTGGAGAAAGATTTTTCAAATAAATGTTAAATAGCAATTTTTTCATTTTTGTGATCCAAGGTTTTGTTTTCGTCAGTTTGTTTTTCTTATTTTGTGAGTTTATTACGCAGATATCATCAAAACAAGATCGAAATTTGCTGATGAATAGCTCGAAGCCCTTATCTACATTCTAACATTCAAACACTTTACTCTAATCTGAAGATTGCAAGCACTCATTCAACTTTTGCAGGCGATTAGCTGAAAATGAAAACTTCATTTTCATTACTTTTATTGGAATCTTCAAATAACGCGAAGATCGGAAAATGGTCTGATAGATTGCTTAACATTACGCCGCTTAGTTTAGATGGTTTCAGATGATTTACAAAAATGTAGTCTATAATGATATTTTGTTGATGTTCTTGTCGGAAATGTGATGAGTGGGGACAAGTTGTAGCAGGATGTGAGGTTTAACAAATTTTTTTTATTGATTTCTTCGTTTACGGAAGATATGTTGATGTTAAAGACACCCAATGGACAGATAAATTTATTTTCTTCATTTGCAGCATGTAACACCTCTTTTAATTGGTCGAGATAATAATTTAGATCTTGTGATGGTCGTCGGTAAGAAACTATCGTAAACGAATTTTTGTTTTTATTTATTTATTTATTTCTATTGGAAACATTTCAAACTTTTTGCAACCAATGACATTTAAATCCTTTCTAACCTTGAACAGACATCCAGCCTCCACATAAAAACCAACAGCGTTTTCTTCCAACAATTTGGTAGTCATCAATTTCAATGCTTCTCTCATCATTTAACCATCTCTCCGTTATTGCAACGACATCAAATTTGAAAGAGAAGTTTACTAAAAAGTCATCGATTTTTTTTGTTAGATTTCTAATATTTAAGTGCATGACATTTAACATTAGGCAGTCATTAATTTTATATGAAATAACAGGATGACATTCGCAACATCAAACATAGTGGATTTTTGTGACAGTTATTTATCATTGTTAGCAAGTTGGTCATAAAAATTTGGGCCAACCATTTTGGGCATTGATATCATCAGGTTTTTTTCTCATAAGCGCCATTTGGCCTTACTTTAAAAAGTTTCATCGTTGCTGCATTTGAACTGTCGGCGCAGACTCTAAACATTGTTGATTCTTGCTCATCTTTGTCCAAATTTTTTTCTTAAGACATTTCAGATTTTTTATTAACCGGATAACACGTAATGACGTTTATTCAAACGAATGTCAAGAATTCAACCACCTCTCTCCGATGGCATTCACTTATATTGCTCATTGAAAAAACTTATTTTTTGATTAAATTTTTGTCTCAGCCATCAATTTGCAATTTTTAAGGACTTTTTTGCCAATTACTTTTGTGGTTTTTTAACTGGGTTGACAATTGCGTGGTTTTCATTGTTAAAGTTATTTTGTTCAACCATCTCTGGAGTGTTGTTTAGTTTTGGTCATTTTTGGACTGAACAACTGTGAATGTCGATGTTTTCAGTCAAAGTCCTCGCAACATGTTCAAGTCCTGCCCAAGAAGTACTCTTGTTGTTGTTGTTGTTGACTTTGTTGTCATACCTCTGGACAGAAATAGAAATATTTAAACTGTTTTTGTTGACTGGTTCGTTAAGAAAATGTTTTTCTGTGTTAGGCGCCGCATGATTTAAACTGCTTTTCAGCGCCGTAATTTCTTCTGCAGAATGGTCTAAAGTGTTGCCTAGACACATGTAACAGGTTCTTTACGGCTTCTATCAAAAGACTTGAAATTTGATGTGTAGAAACAGAAAATAAGTTTTCTTGATATTCAAATAAATCGAGATAGAATACAAATTAACAAAATATTGTTCAATTATTAAGTTAATGTATGTATTGTCGTTTGGGGTGACAAACGTGCTTTATTACTACGGTATAGACTGTCACGTTGTTGTGCGAGTGTTGTTGTTGGAATAACTGACGCCACGATGTTGCTGGATAAGAGTTGTTGTAGCTGAGGTGGTCGTTACTCTGACACTGCTGGGTTGGAGTTGTTGTTGAATTAACTGAAACTACGACACTATTGTGTTGGAGCTGTTGTTGAAATAACTAGTTGTTGCAGCGACTGTAGTTGTGGTGGTTGTTATCACTACACTGTTGTGTTGGAGTTGTTGTTGAAATAACTGAAACCACGACACTATTGTGTTGGAGCTGTTGTTGAAATAACTGGTTGTTGCAGCGACTGTAGTTGTGGTGGTTGTTATCACTACACTGTTGTGTTGGAGTTGTTGTTGAAATAACTGAAACCACGACACTATTGTGTTGGAGATGTTGTTGAAATAACTGGTTGTTGCAGCTGCTGTAGTTGTGGTGGTTGTTATCACGACGCTGTTGTGTTGGAGTTGTTGTTGACTCCGCTATTACTACCTGCTACCAATTACCACTTTATTCCTATTAACGACGTTCCAGTTAGACTTGTGACTGCCAACGTCCTACCGCCAAACCTACTACCAAACGTTTTTTACTCCAAATTAAACCAATAATTACTAAAATGCAAAATTCTACCGTCTACTATCAACCAAGAGTTAAACTACGGCGTTCTCACTCAATAATTCTCCTATTATCGCTTTATATTTTTTTTTCTTTCCGCAATGCGGCAACCCCGTTAAGATAAAATCATGAGGCGCCGCATGCTAAACCTCAACCTGTGACATACCTCTCACCACACTTTGAATATTCCTTGGGGTGAAGGAATATTCACTCCTGAATACATTACCTCTTCATCTCCAGCGATCTGTCAGCTAGACGTGTGAGGAAATCTGCCACGTTTTTGCTACCCGCTCGATATTTGATCTGTATATCGAATTCTTGTAGTGCCAAACTCCACCTCATCAATTTAGAACTTTTTGGCACCACATCTGTCAAGTAGGTTAGGGGGTTATGGTCTGTATATATGTGGACCTTTGACATGCAAATCCAACCCCTAAATTTTTGTAAAGCCCATATTATAGCATAGGCCTCCTTCTCGATGGTAGCCCAGCGCTGTTGTGTCTCAGATAACTTCTTACTGGCGAAAGTAATGGGTCGTTCATTCCCTCGTTCATCAGGTTGTGCCAAGCAGCATGCCACCGTATGATTGCTAGCATCGGTGATTAAACAAAAGGGTTGTGTATAATCAATCGTATATAGACCTCCCACCTCCTGTAGCTGTTGTATTGCCATATCCAAGCTTCTTTGATGAGCCTCCAACCAATGTATCCTATTACCACCTTTCCCCTTGGTTAACTCGGTGATACTATATAGCGTCCCAGCAAGGTTGGGGATGAAATTTTGGAAGTAGTTGAAGAAACCCACGATTTTCCGTACTTCCTTCTTGGTCGTGGGAGTTCGTATCTCTTGTAATCTTTGCAGCTTCAACGGATCGACGTTAATTTCTCCAGAACCGACCAGATGTCCAAGAAAAGGAATTTTGGCCTGTGCCAGTCTACACTTTTGGAAATCAAAGGTCAGACCCGATTGTTCTATCACTTCGAAGAAACGTTTTAGGTGGGAAATGTGTTCCTCCCATGTTTGAGAAAAAACTGCGACATCATCAATATAAGCTTCGGTGAAGTCCTGTATGTCCCTGGTCAACTGTTGCATCGCCCGGGTGAACGTGATGCTGGCTGATTTTAAACCGAACGGCATACGGGTAAATTCATTCAACCCGTAATCGCACACGAAGGCCGTGAGCCATTGAACGCTCTCC